GTACCAATTGCACCTGGCACCGGTCGGAGTCCGGAGAAGGTAGCCAGTTCAGGACTCGTTGGAGATGCTCGTCTCCGTACACATTGAGGCGTTTCAAAGTTAGTGTTAATTAGTGTTAAGTCAATGGACGTCTTACGTATGAAACTATCTCTGTCTTGGTATCCTTGTTAGCATCTCGCGTCGTAACGAAGAAAACTATCGGGAGTTCTAAACGCTTGAGCTACTCAAATTCGGCTGTCTTCGCCGACACCGTGGTCCCATCTCGATGTCATCGTACTATAATACGATGGCTACACGATGGCATTGTGAGGGCTTCACATAGTCGTCTTGCCTTCCTAAGACAATCGGGCAGCTTCTTGTTTCCTTCGTATTGTCTCAAAAATGCCCGATGGCACCAATGATCACACGAAGTAAAGACGAAGATGACAAGATGCCCTGATGATGGCCATACGAAGGGCAAAATGGACACACGAATTCAACCCGAAAATGAACCTTTGCATGGTCTATCGGCATTTTTTGGCATGCCAAAGATTTTGCCACCGCTCACGAAGTTGCTGCCGGAGTCTGAGAAACTCCACCGGCGGTCATACGATGGCTTAAGATGCCCTCACGAATGGCCCGAAGTTTGATCAGAGCCGAATTTGAACATTTCCTTTATCGTTTGTCCATCTGGTGTCAATTTCGGGACAGTGTGATGCGGGCTTAAAGAAGAGGGACCAATGATAACTTTGTAATTTTGCTGTTGTTCAGCATCGAAACATTCATTAGCTAACAATGACATTATTGTTCTATTAATATAAAGTGAGGTCAGTTACTCTATAAAACAGCTGGTAGTTATGTGTACTTTTTACTGAAGTACATTTTGAAGCCGATACTTCTTTACATTAACTTGAGTAAAGAAGTTTAGTCAGTACTTCTACTTTTACCAGAGTATGTTTAAACACGAGTATCTGTACTTCTACTTGAGTAAAGGATGTGTGTACTTTTGCCATCTCTTTCCGTTTCCATCACATAACCCCTCTGTTCCATCCCTTCTCATAGCTCCATCTCTTTATTCTAAAAATGTCTCTAACCTTGAGGTTTTTTGCTGTACAGTCATACTTCCACGTCTGTTTTTCCATAACTGTAAGAGGTAAGAAAATCTACAGCGTGAGCCGCCAGTACTCCTCTTTATTTATTCATCTCCAATATCATTCCACCGTTGTACGAAACAAAACAACAGTGAGACCTGAAGCGCAAGCACAAAGGTTATTAAAGGCAAGAAAAGCGTTGCCCCTGAGGCGAAGAGCAAACAAGAGGGTTTAATAATGAATGGCATCGGGGTACATGACAAAGTCAATTCATTCTTTTGAGTAGCACTCGGAAGAAATGTTTCCCTGTCAGCAAAATTCTCCACAATAGTTTAAGAAGACACAGATACAAGGGTTTCAGGAAAGATGGGGAGGGGAGGGACTCTTACAACTGTCTGAGTTACACGCTTTCGCTCCGTGTCACCCACCCCTGTAATTCCCAGCTGTCAGGGAGTACAAATACTATTGCTTAAGCGGATGTGTCACTATCTACCAATTATTCCAGTCATTTGTCATCGCTTGCTACGTCCCTGTGGCTGAGCCTCGGGTGTTCTTTTACTTTGAGAATTTCCCCCTCCTGCCTGCAGTGAACCCAGTATAGCACCTTGTTAATTCAGCCAATTACATCGTGCTCCCGACTCTGCAAACCCTTCCCAGCTCCACACACTCATATACATATCCTGATAATGTCCTTGAACTAAGAGTTCCTCGCCTTATCACATCTTGTACATCAGGTTCTTTAGATTGCTTGCAAAAAAGGGTTATACTGTAGGTTTCATATTATGGTTGTATAAAATGTATAATAGGTTGTTTTAGTGTTACTTTGCTGTAATTGTCCACAGCTAATCATGCATACTACTGGACCAATTGGCCAAAACACTGGATTCTCAAGGGTTTCTCGAGTTTGTGGTGATTCACAAGTTTTTATTGACTGTCATAATCTGCTGACACATCATTCTGGAATATAAATGAATTATAGTGTGAACGAAGAGGAGATGCATATTGGTTTCCCTTTGGAATGGTTAAAATTATTTGTGTGGACTGTTCCTTGGTGGTGGTCTGAAGTTCTGCCCCAGAGTCAGAAACCTGGCCCAATTCTGCACCTTAGTGAGTGCAATTTTCTAGTTCATCATATTTGACCTTTGGGTGTGCCATTTTGCTGGTGAACTGTATATTATGTCTTGGCATAACACTTGCTTCATGTACAGTATAATGATCTTAATCTTTTAATTCAATACACCAATACTTTAAAGGTCCCATGTCATGGCCATTTCTACTGATCATACTTCCATTGTTGAGGTCTACTAGAATAGATTTATATTGTGCAATTTTCCAAACTCACATTGGTTTCTCATACAGCATCTCTGTATAGTATGTGTATTCACTCTCTGTCCTATACGGCTTGTTGGAGCTCCTCGCCCCCCCCTCCCCACCACCCTCCTTGTGAGCCCAGTGTGCTCTGATTGGTCGGGACGTTGCGAGGTTCGTTGCTGCGAGGAGCGGATAGGCTTCNNTGAACCCTTTGGAGTTACCTGGATTTCTGCATAAGTTGGTCATAACATGGAGGAAGCCACTGCTGTCCAGAAAAAACATTGCTGCACGTTTGAAGTTTGCAAAAGAGCACCTGGATGTTCCACAGCACTACTGGCTAAATATTCTGTGGACAGATGAAACCAAAGTTGAGTTGTTTGGAAGGAACACACAACGCTATGTGTGGAGAGAAAAGGCACCAGCACACCAACATCAAAACCTCATCCCAACTGTGAAGTATGGTGGAGGGAGCATCATGGTTTGGGGCTGCTTTGCTGCCTCAGGGCCTGGACAGATCCATCATCCACGGAAAAATGAATTTTCAAGTTTATCAAGACATTTTGCTGGAGAACTTAAGGCCATCTGTCCAGCAATTGAAGCTCAACAGAAGATGGGTGATGCAACAGGACAACGACCCAAAGCACAGAAGTCAATCAACAACAGAATGGATTCAACAGAAGAACATAGGCCTTCTGGAGTGGCCCAGTCAGAGTCCTGACCTCAACCCAATTGAGATGCTGTGACCTCAAGAGAGCGATTCACACCAGACATCCCAAGAATATTGCTGAACTGAAACAGTTTTGTAAAGAGGAATGGTCCAAAATTCTTCCTGACGGTGCAGGTCTGATATGCAACTATAGGAAACGTTTGGTTGAGGTTATTGCTGCCAAAGGAGGGTCAACCAGTTATTAAATCCAAGGGTTCACATACTTTTTCCACCCTGCACTGTGAATGTTTACATGGTGTGTTCAATAAAAACATAAAAACATATAATTGTTTGTGTGGTATTAGTTTAAGCAGACTGTGTTTGTCTATTGTTGTGACTTAGATGAAGATCAGAACACATTTTATGACCAACTTATGCAGAAATCCAGGTAGTTCCAAAGGGTTCACATACTTTTTCTTGCGACTGTATACTACCACTGGCTCAAATTATTAAAAACAGCAATCTAAGCGATCATATCTATGCAGACGACACCCAGATTTATTTTAAAATGACACCAGGAGACTACTCTCCGATTAGAACACTGAGCAAGTGCATTGAGCACATCAATGACTGGATGATTCAGAACTTTCTCCAATTGAACAAACAAAAAACTGAAATCATTGTTTTTGGAGCAAAGAAGGACCAATTAAAAGTAATCACAGAGCTTCAGTTGGCGGACTACAAAACAAATAATAAAGCTTGTCCATGCTTTCATCTTCAGTAGACTCGACAACTGCAATAGTGTATTCACAGGGCTGACACAAAAATCCATCAGAAAGCTGCAGCTGATTCAGAACGCTGCTGCTCGAGTCCTCACTAACATTAAAAGAGTGGATCACATCAGTCCGGTTCTGAAACCTTTACACTGGCTTCCAGTCGGCCAAATAATTGATTTTAAAGTTCTATTGCCAGTTTTTAAAACATTAAATAGTTTAGGACCAAAGTATATCAACGATCTCCTGCACAATTATGAACCATCAAGGTGTCTCAGGTCTTCTGGAAGGGGTCTGCTCTCAGTTCTGAGAGTAAGAACAAAACATGGAGAAGCGACGTTTAGCTATTATGCCCCCACAATCTGGAACAAACTGCCTGAATCGTGCACGTCCGCAGAAACTCTTACTATTTTCAAATTGAGACTGAAAACATATATTTTTGCCGCTGCTTTTAATTGAACTG